TTTATCCTAAATTAATGATTTAAGTGAAATCAATCAATTGGCAAATTTTCTTTTTGAAATATTTTTTATGAAAATATTTTTTTCCTTTTTAATAAATTTGTTAATAATAATAATAATAATAATTTGCTATTCAAATTAAAAGAAATCATCTTTAAGCTCATACTGGATTTATTTATTATTTAATGAAGATGATTAAATAGAACATAATTAAATATAAACAGATTTTTATTTGTTCTATAAGTATATTCTACCACTCTAATTTAGATTTCTAGTAAACCTTTAATTACATTTAATTTTAAATACCATTACTTTTAATTTAATTACACCTTTTAGGTAAATTTAAACATCTTTACATCTGAATTAAAGAAAAAAAAGCAATTTTATTTTATGTATTAACTTATTTCCTTTAATTTATTTAACATAAACATAATTATTAATTTAAAATAGATCATCAAATCTAAAACCTAAAAACAATGCTTTTTATATTTTTTGAAAAGACATTTTTATTTACCAATTAAACTCATTAAAATTTGCTTTGTATTTATCAAGACTTACATACTATTCTTTTTAAATGTTAGTTTAACCACCATTAATTATTTACAGTTTTATGTTCATTAAAACTAATAAATAAATTAAAATAAATTTAAAATATTTATTTAATATGCATTATTAAACTAAATTATTCCTACCACTTTTTAAAAAATACAATTAATGTTTTTAATCTTTTAAATTAAATTTACATAAATAAGTAATTAATTATACTCAATAAATTCTAGTATGGTTAAAATATATTCAAGCATAAATCATAGATTTAAAAGATTTATTAAACTTTTCTTGCAACAAAGGTTAATTATCATGATTTTTATTTTATTTAAAGGATTTTTTTAGGAAATATTTTTACTTTTCTTAAAGTCTTTCAAAATATTTAAAATTTAAATAAAATCAATATATAGAATCTATTTTTACTTTTTTAAAAATTTTAAAAATAAAATATTTGATTTAGATATTATAGCAAATTTGTTATTTTATTACATTTTACATTATTTACATATTAGATTAATATTTTAATTAAGTAAAATATATAAAAATAAGAAAGAATGTAAAAATTTAATGTAGATCAGTGTGAATAATATGTTTATTGTGCTTAAAAAATACTTATTAATTTAATTTTAATAAATATTAGAAAAATAATAATAAAGCATAAGCATTATAAAGGTGTTAAAGAATAGCTTTTAGTTGCAAGTTGCAATATTATAATTATTAATACTAAATAAATAATATTCACTGACTTAATTTTAATTATACCAAACCATTAAAAAAATATTACTAAAAAAGCTATAAATTTTTTGATTCATTACTTAATTTGCTCGAAATATGTTCTATCATTCAAAATTTAATAATATGTTAAAATCATAGATAATCAAAACAAAACATATATTTTTATTTGTAAGTAGAATTTTTTTCACTAAAAATAACATTTTAAATACCCATCAGACTTTTATAATTTAAATTATAATAAATTAAAAAAAGAATAATAATAATAAAAATAAAATAAAATGACTGACATAAAAATATCTTTTGGTTGGAACTCTTACTAAACTTGTTCTACATAGAAATGTTCCAATGCTTATATCTCAGAACAAGGAGTGTCTTATTGGTAAGATTCTAACATTATCATAAGCCTTTTCTTCTATGTTGCTGTTGCTGGAGCTTATGATATTTCTCTTTTGTCTACTGAAGTATAGAGATCAGCAGAGCTTTAAGTTATATTCCCTCTATCTCC